ATAGATAGATAGATAGATAGATAGATAGATAGGTAGATAGATAGATAGATAGATAGATAGATAGATAGATAGATAGATAGATAGGCAAAGAAGTGAGATACAGAGAGTCAGAGAGGGACAGATAGGCACAGAAAGTAAAAGAAATAGTCACCACAGGTTTCGGTCCTGACCCTCCTGTTACAATGTTGTCATTGCTTCATGAAAGCGACACGCGCCCACAAGACAGCATTGTACATGAGAAAACATCAAGGCAAAAATTCCCCTCTCTGACTCTGTCTGTCCACCTCTCAGTAAATCTGGTGGAGCGTTAGTTCTATTTCTCCTGATATGATTAATATAGCTAGTCAACAGACACGAATTGAAATTATGCATGGTGTTCTTTCTCCGTTACTTTTGAATTAAGAAGAAGCATGTCGATACGGCAGGGGTCATTTTGTGCAGGATTTAAAAAAAAAACTGAACCGTAAAAGGCAGGAATAAACAATAGATGGACAGTTAAGAGTCTGATCCTATCAGTTGCACCCTCCGATCCCACAACATCTTTTATTCTATAGCACTTCAAAGTTACGATTTTAAAAAAATGTTGGTGTTTTATGCCTCTATTGACGCACTTAAGATCCTTTAGAAAGCGAGCTTTGACCTAACCTGTCAGGACCAATCCGAGGTGAGATGGATACACCATTCCAGCAGAAAAGCTGAGATACTTAAAAAAAGATTATCTCAACACGAGAACCGAACTGGAATCTTCTGCGTGTGATTTCGAAGCGCCTAACTGCTACAGCAGAAATGCCGGTAAATGCCAGCATGTTAAACGTACAGTACAACCAATTAGTTGTGTGTAACCTAAATCTGAACTAAGCGCCAGCAGAGAAAGAGGAGGACCGTAAGACTGCAAAAGGCTGTAAACATTTTCTAGAGCAATAAGTAATGTGAACAAATCATGACATAGATGAGGGTTTGCTAAGAATAAATATCTACATGATCAAGGAGGTGGTAGTGGGGAGGAGTAGTACAATTGATTATAGCCAATCAAGATGTGGTCAGTCTAGTCCATGTTCCAGTTGAAACCTAAAAATTAAATTTCAAATCAAATTCCTCTTAAACTTTTGCTTCCAAACAATGAATATCGCAATGATTTTTGTTGTGTAACTGTTGGTTTTGAAAATTTTATAATGTACTGGTGTTGAAAGTTGGGGTTAATTAATTGATTGAAGGAATAACGTCTAAAAGATTTCTTCAGCTCAACAAATTGGAGGCAGACGATGACTGGAACTCGTCTTCGTCCACAGAGGGCAGCGAATCGCTGAGGCTGTTCCCGTGTCGGATGACGTCATCATGGAGGCTGGGCGGGGACCGGGGCTTGGCTCTGGGTGGTACAGCATTGTTAGCCAAACCCCCTTCGGGAATCGCAGTCTTGTGATTGGCTGATGTCTGGGACGACGATGACGATGGCCCGCCGTTGGATATAGATAAACCGTGTGGCGTTTTACTTGCGCCTGTTAGATGATTGTCTGAGGTAAAGAGCGGCCGTGAGGTGGTGTCTCCAGACACAACAACCTGGTCTTCTGAGGTGATTGTGACGACGTCATTGTCTGTCATGGCGTCTCCCAGCAACTCATCGTCCACGTCATCAACTGATGTGTTCCTCGTGACGCACTCGTCGTCCACACTTCTGGAGGCACAGCCGTCAGAAGTCTCTTCTGATTGGGTTAAATTGTTCTCGTTCTCTATATCGGACGGGGTGCGTAGTGTCTTCGGTCGGAAGGTTGGCGAACCACCGGCAGCGTTATTGCCGTCTCTTTTCTCACCACTTTCAGATACACCATGTCCACCACCACCATCACCACCACCATGTCCACCACCATTACCACCAGAACTATCACCAACAGATCTTTCCCCACCGCCACGGCCACTCCTCTCCTGAACGTTACTACCATTCAAAGTGGGGGAGGATGCCGCGGTGGGCGTTGACGATCCGGTGTCTTCGCTGGACACGTTAAACGGTTCAAACGACGCCATTTTGCTGGTGACGTAGTTGCTGCCGCTGGGAGATGGTGACGTGGAGGGCGTGACGGTTGTCGACGGCGGCTGGATCTGAATCATTGTGGGAGCTATCAACACAGGGGGGCGCTGAGCAGGGGCAGCAGGGGACGCTGGTAACAATGAGGTCGCGGCAGACTCTGGTGTTTTATCCCTCACCAAAGAGGAAGGTCGACTCGCTTCACTGATTTTTTCCTCTGACCTCGTCGACGCCTCGGCAATGGTGGGAATCAACAAGACGTTCTCGGGGGAGAACCCTACATCCTCGTCCCCTTCATCCACCCGCTTCTGCGGCTGCAACGAGCCCCTTCTTTTCCCGTTGACCTTTGACCCGTTGATGCTGCTCGTGGACGCCACCATGCGGTCGTCGTAAGATCGTCTCCTGTTGTAGTCGATGGTCACTTCAGCCAACGAACTGCCCGGGTCACTGTCCATACTCCCGCGACCTCTGCCGAAACGAGTGGGATAACCTCCGTTCACGTGACTCGTGCTCCCCCCTCCCCCTCCCCCCATCATCCCTGCTCCCCCTTTCTCCTCCAGAGAGTTGAGGATATTCCTCACGTGATTCGCAATCATGGGCGAGTTGAGGCTGCTCTTTCTGTCTATCACGACCGGCGTGCTAAGTCCACTGACCCCACCGTCCCCCATCCCACCCAACAACCCTGGACCCTCGTCTGGTGAGCTCAGCGTGCCCCGCCCACTCTCAGAGTTGGAGCGAGCGCGGGTTTTGAAAAGTCCTTTCTTACTGGTGTCCTTGGCGGATTCCTTGAGGTAAAGTTCCCGGTCAATGCTGGAGAGACATTGAGGCTGCATGGACTTCCGGCGTCCACCTCTGTCCACCAGGTTGAGGAGGGAGGGGCGTGGTGAAAGGCGGGGGAAGTCACTCTTGTCGTTCAGTAAGATTACACTTGAGTTATCAATCTTGATCTTGCATTTACTTTTCCCAGCTTTATCTGTGGGGGAAGAAGAAATGAAAATATTAGCTTTAGGTCAAGCTTCGTTTTCCCCATGACTAAGTATCCATTTATGCATTTTGCGAATTGCATTTTGTATATTGTTTAATTGTGTATTTGTATGTGCTCATTTCGTAACGATGTGTAAGCGTGCGCGTGTGATAAGCAAGTAGATGTGTGTGTGTGTGTGTGTGTGTGTGTGTGTGTGTGTGTGTGTGTGTGTGT